CAAGTCTCCGATCCATATAGAAGCACTGACTTCACATTGGAGTTGAAAATTCGGATCTTAATTTTTATGCTGAGTGCTGTTGACCTCCACACAGTCTTAAGAGTAGTGAAAGCTTGTCTTGCTTTTCCGATTCTGGCTTTGATATCCTCGTCAGTTCCGCCTGGAGTTGAAACGATGCTTCACAGGTAGGTAGGTACAGGAGATTGCTTCTTTCAGGTTCCTCCCATTTATGCTGATTGTTGTCTGTTGTTGTTGTTGCTGTTGGTGTTGGCCAAGAATCTTCATCACCTCTGTTTCATCTATGTTCACCTTAATGGTGTCCTATCTTTGATGTTTCTTCTATCGCCAACTTGTTGCTTTTCACTTGCATATCTTCCAGTTTATGGGAAATCAGACATATATCATCGGCGAAATCCAGATCCTCCAAGTTTTTGTGTGAGTCCATTTTATGCCTGTTTCCTCATTGCCTTGCCCGCTGTCTGTCGCACTATCCAATCTACTGCAATCAGGAAGATCATTGGCAGTAGTAGACAGCCTTGTCTCACTCCCATCCTCACTTTAAGGCTTCCGTAAGTTTCCCATTGTGGATTACTTGGTATGCAGCATTGTCCTACAGCTATTGAATGAGATGTATAATTGTCGACGGCACCCGTAGTAGCGAAGTAGTTACCAAATCACCTCTCGATCGACGCTGTCTGCTGAAGGCCTTTTCAAAATCGATGAAGTTGAGATAGAGAGGTGATTGCCATTCTAAGCTTTGTTCAATGATGATTCGTAAAGTGGCGATTTGATCAATACATGATTTGTTTCTCCTGAATCCGGCCTGTTCCAGTCGAAGTTTTTCATCCAGGGCTTGTTTGATTCTCTTTAGGATGATGCGGCTTCGTATTTTGCTTGGGATGGACAGGGGCATAGTTCCGCGCCAGTTTTTGCATTGACTTAAGTCTCCTTTCTTTGGTAGTTTGAATAAGTATCCTTTCTTCCAATCCTCGGGTACTTTGACATGCTTCCACACCTTCTCCAGTAGTGGTGTCATCAAGTCCACTGTTGTCTCTGGGTCCATTTTCAATGCTGGGTCCTGTTTACATACTGTCGTTAAAATATGATTGAAGAATCCTCAGAATAAGTTCACTACCTTTTATAAGCTAATGAAATAAAAACAGCTGATAGTGTTTGATTAGAAGTTTTATTGATAAAAATGAGATACACATTAATACTAGTGGAACAAGTGAAATAATACCGCGGACAGTTCAAAGTAAGAACATTAATATTAGAAAAAGATATATAAGCGAACAACATTGTTTCCAATTAGATCTTCTTCAGGCTTTACTCTCATTGTCATAGATTTATATATAATTAGAATAGTAATAGTAAAAATTGACGTAATAAAGGAAGAGAATACAAATTGAATAGACAAAATGAAAAAAATGGAAAATTGGTAGAGCCAAATTATGATTTGGGATTACCATACTATAGCATAGAGGGATTAAGACCAAGACCGTGACCATGACCAAAGCCGTACATACTTGACTCATCTGTATTGCTGAAGCTCTGGCTATCGAAACAGAAAAGTCAGATCTCTGTGTACAGAAAAAAGTTCGTTCAACCCCTCCAAATTTCATGGTCTTTTGCTGTAGTATGGTAATCCCCGATCATATTTTGGCTCCACTAATTTTTCATTTTTTCATTTTGTCTATTCAATTTGTATTCTCTTTCTTAATTACGTCAATTGTTAATGTTGCTATTCTCACTTCGAACTGTCCCCGATATTATTTCACTTGTTCCACTTGTCATTCTAAATCAATTCTTTTTTACAACGTTAAATTCTATGCTATAAAATTTCACACGATATTACGTAACGCTTTTGTTATATTCGATTTGTCTACTAGTCCTATAAATGCACACCCTTTTTCAAGTTCTATCCATCTTATGAATTATTCCATATGCGACATTAACTGTTCTGCCACTTGACATTTAACTATGATTATAATCACAAACATTTTAGTTTTAATTGCATTTCATACTATTATTATTATTCTATGCATTGACACATATTAATACTGTCGTGGCATCAATTTTGAGACAAAATATGTCAATCGATTCATGCATTGAGGTTAATCACATAACCAGGTATCTATCCAAGAAGAGAGCAACACAGATGAGACTTATAAAAGTGAGCTGAAGGAACCTAATTTAAAAAGTGGTGATACACAGGAAACAGTGGGCTGATCACTTCAAAGGACTATAGAATCGACGACCCCCTGAAAATCGTCCAGAAATATCGCCAAAATCACGCACTCAACTACCACTGGACACAAATCTGCCAACAAAAGCAAAAATATTGATTGCGATCAAATTAGTGAAGAATTAGAAGGCAGCAGGACCAGAAAAAATTCTTACGAGTGCACTGAAAATGTATCAAGAGACAGTAGCAGATATACTGACGTCATTATCGCAAACAGTTTGGAAGAGAGGACAGGTGCCCAGCGATTGGAGGGGTGACTTACGCCTCTGCAAGAACTGACTGGCGTCGATTAATGCTCTTATCCGTGCCAAGTAAAATACAAAGTGGCATCATCCTGGACAGAATTAAAGATGCACTGGATGCAGAATTCCACCAGCCCTGAACAAGCTGGATACAAGAAAAGCACAACTCAACGCATCATCATCTAGTAGAGCATAGAATGGTAGTAAAATCTCCATCTCAACTTCATCGGATTTGGGAAGGCTTCAACAGGACTGATCGTGAACTGATTTGGATATTACTTCAACACTATGAGGAATACCAAATGTTTATCAACCTTATTCAACAGCTTTATGACTATGGCACGTATCAAGTGATCTACAGAAGCAAAATTAGTGAAGCCTCAGAAAAGAATACATGAGTAAGACAGAGCTGACTACCATGACAGATGATATCCCTGAACGTGGTGGGTTGGTTCATGTTCAACACCATACTAGGGTAGTGAGAAGATTGAGATAGGTAGGACCGATGAGAAGACTCTAGAAGATCTGGACTTTGAAGCCGATTTGTGTTTAATTTCATACAAACTCTTCAAGTAAATATGGAAATGATGGAGGGGATGAAAATAATCAACCAAACGTATCAACAGACACTGATCACAACCAAAAGAAGAAATTTGTACGATGGTTCTTTCTTCACTTATTTAGGAACCAGCCACAGGCAGAGAGTACGCATAGAGATGGCAAAACCAACCAGAATCAGGAGGGCAAGGAAAACACTCATCACTCTGAAATCAATTTGGAAATCTTCTGCACTCCAATCAGCATAAACAACAAAATTTCGATTTTCAATAGCGGTGTTAAAGTGAGTCAGTCAGTTCTTCTGAATGTGTCAGAAATTTGGTGTCTGGACACTAAAAACAATTAAAACACGCTACTGTAGACTTTTATCAACAACTGTCTTCACTGGATGCAGATCAGATAAAAGACCAGAAAGGATTAGAAACAAGAAAATCTGGTAACAGACCAGTCGACCACTCATCACCCTACAAGTATAGTGAAGAAAATGAATTTGGACTGGATACCAATTGAGGAGACCATCGGTTAACATTACGCACTAGGCTATCTGTCAAGTGAAACCTGAATAGAATACGACGAATTGGGGGTTTGTCCCCGGAGAGATAGTGTGATGAAGAAATGAGAGCCTCGGGACCAGGTAAAGAGGACTGCAGATAACAGGGTGGAATAGATATGTGCTGTTGAAGTCTTCTCTTCCACTAAGAGCTAAACGAAATTATGATTTAGTGAAGTAATACAATTGTATACATTGTTATGCAAGATTAGTCAGTCTCTTCTTCTGCTCACGTAGATTTGCTGTTAGTCGTTTGATGGTGATTGCCTAAGCAAGACGTAGCAAGCTAGGTGGTTTCTTTTGTCTGGTGATTATTTTCAACGTCTTTAGATTGCTCACAATACGACCAGTATCCAATAGATGGAGAGCAGTTGCACCATTTAACGTCCGAAAGCCCGTTAATCTCAGATTCTTTAGCGATAACTCTTCTCTCGGTTCTTCAAATATGTAGGTTTTGACCTATTGTAATAAGAAAAAAAGAGTGAAAATGACCCAGTGGACTCAATTATACAAAATAATATAATTTACAAAATACCCTGCTGTGACTGTGAGTTAAGTCAACTAAGTGGGTCAATCAAACTAGTAGATCAGGGGTAGTCAGATTATCAGAAAATAAGAATTTAGCTAAGGTAAGAATGATTAACCCCGAGAACATAAGTAATTTAGAAAAAAGCTCAGCAATCGCAGTGCACGCATTAACACACAACCACACATTAGGGTGGGAGAGGTTTAAAATTCTAAGAAGTAATATAGGTAAGTGGAGAGAGAGAGAGAGAGAGGTTGATTACTGAATCCTTGTTCATTGAGTTCACACCCAACACATACAACAGAAATGACTCAATGCAAATACCAGAGATATGGATGATATTATTGCCACCAGTCAAATCGGAGAAGGATAATAAATAATCTTAAAATTCTTTTTCAATTCGAGCACATCACAACATTCTAACAAGTTACTTATTTTAAATATAAAATCAGTCATCTTTATTTCCCATCTGATTGTAACGGATCAATAACACTCCTATTATTATTATTATTATTATTTTAGATGTCTAATCATCAGGTTTTACTCATGTATATAAATGAAGCAAAAACCTTGTGGGAGTGGCTTGAGTTGATGATGAGCAGCAATAACTTGTGCTCGAAACGTGGTCATGAGTAAATATTTATCAAAATAAAATCTTATTTATAATGGAGAAATGAAAATAGGTGTTTTGCAATGCGAAATAAACATTACAGTAAAATAATTTAATAAAATATTACAGCAAAAACACAAATAAAACTAAAAGCTCTTATTATATTTCTACAATAGTCGAAAAACAACGGGCAAAAGTGATTGGCTAATTTTACAAATTAGAATAAAATAAATAGACAACAAATTATTGCTCAATTATCACCGGACAATCTGAAAACGTGAAAATTTTTCTCTCTGGTATATAAAACTGCCCAAACATTAACATTTTGAATGCTTAGCTAAACAAAACAGCACAACTATGTACGGATTAATCATTGTTGGCGTTCAACACTATGTGGAATCTAAATATGGCGAAGAATTATGGATGAAAATTGTTGAAAAATGTCATCTAGGCTTGTTAAGTTTTCAAACACAGAAAGTTTATTCTGATCATGTGTTGAAACGTTTATTTTGCTCATTAAGTGATGAAGTCGGCGAAAGTGTTGAACAGTTAACTTATCAAAGTGGTTTATATTTTGCAGCATTCACCTCAGATTATGGTTATGAAAATTTACTACGTGTTCAAGGCAGAGATTTCATCAGCTTTTTGCATAATTTAGATAATTTACACGAATATTTACGTTTTTCTTATCCAAAAATTAGACCACCATCATTTTCTATTGTTAAAGCGACACACAATTGTATCCGATTGAAGTATTCAACTAAACGTGATGGTTATACGCATTATGTACGTGGGCAGTTGATTACCCTGGCTAAACGACTGTATGATTTAGATATAAGAGTTGAATTAATCGATATGAAAGTTGTTAATTACGTGTATCATACCACATATGATATATATGCACTGAATGATCGACATTGGATAGATCCACAAAAGTATTATGTTCAAAAACCATTAGACAGTTGGGGGGATACAATTGCCAGTAATGAATTTTTCAATATATTTGCTTTTTCACTGCTAATTACAAAAGAAATGAGGATAAGGAAGGCGAGTAATTCATTCCATAAACTGGATCCAACACTTGAAGGTTCAAGTTTCAGTGAAAAATTCCTCCTGTCTCGTCCATTTATTCATCCTTCTTTAGAAGAGGTAAGTTATTTTTGGTATACACCTTTTTGTTTTATTTCATTTTATTTCCACCTTGTTCATTTTTGTATGCAGCCTTGTTGCGAACTAAAGTGGCTAATCTCGTTTATACGTGAATTCTACTATTATTATTGTTCCCTTGGGTTCCTAGTGGAACATAGAGCTAAAACTGCATGTCTCCACTTGCTTCTGTCTTCCTTCTGCTGTACTTTTCACCTGCATCCATGTTAGTGCATACTCTTTCAACTCCTCTCCCTTCACACGGTCTCCTCCATGTCACCTTTGCACTGACGTCCCACTCGCCGCGCGCTTCCCTTTCGGGTTCCACTCGAGCAGTGGCCTGGCGCGCACGCGATGTCAACCAGCGGCCTCCTCAACGAGTGTCCAATCCATCCATCTCGATTTTCCCCTGCATATTTGTTGGTTGGCAATTGGTTCTTGTTTTGTTTGTTTGTTCCCAGCCATAGTTTCTTCTTAATGATTCTTTCCGGCCCGGCCATCTGATCTTCATTATAGAGCGAAGACAGTTATTGATAAAGGTCTGCAACAGGCTGTTGGAAATGTTCTTTGTGACCCACTCGCCAGGTTTCTGATCCATATAGAAGAATTGACTGACTTGAGGTTTGTATTGAAAATCCGACTGAATTTTGTTGTTGATGCTGGCTGAGTGACGAAGATTTCCGGATTGATTTCAAGTTGATGAATGCGTTTCTCGCCTTCCCGACTCTCGCTCGATTTGACATCCTCGTCCGTTCCTCTTGTCGTTGACACAATGCCCCACTTATGCGTGAATAAAAATGGATAAAACAAATACAAACATGTGTGTATGTATGTATGTATGTAGAGGGGAATTCAGTTCACACAAATTAATATACATATAAAATACACTTACTAAGTGAGTTATAACTGTCCCAGAATACACAAATGAAGACGTACAGAATTGTTCGTAGTGATGAAGTCGTCCATTTTTGTGTATACAGTTACACATTCCACTTAAGAGTATGCCAACAGCCCGCCTGAGGGTACTTGCAGAGAGAAAAGGAGATTGAAGCAAAGAATCCGAATGTGAATATACAGATCAGGTATGATCCAAAGATGATTGGCAATAGTGGAAAGCAAGAAGCTGGAGAGGGAAGTTGTGTCGTTCATACTGCACGCTGAACCAGATCTTGTCCTTATTCAATCTCAGTTGACAACCATAATGTGCAATGAATTCGTTATTTTTACTATTTTACAATGGGTATATAATTTGATATTTTTCGGCCGCCACAGCCTCTCAGAAACTGGTATTTTAAAATGTTGACTTAATCGATGAACAACCATTCTACACTTTTTGTGTTCATATTATTATTATAATGTTGGAAAAGATGGTCATCCGACTGGTCGTAATACTCTTATTTTAGTCGCTGAAATAAATACATGTTACCTGATGAGTATAAAGTATTCTCCCACTCTCGTTGATAAAACAACAGTATAATTGGATGGAGGGAGAGGAGGTGAAGCATACCAAGTGGGACCTGTCATCTACTTCATTGAAAGCAGAGTTGATCGGTGTGTATTACTCTAAATATCAATGAAAGAAAGAGGAATACATTAAGACCGATTCGCATTCTGAACCTTATCTATATACGTTTCGAACCATTGAATCATCTAATATCATAAACCTTTTTTACAGGCAAAAAGATGAGATTGCAATGGGATCTGCCATGGGTCCACGGCTAGCAGACTGTTTCATAACAAGCCTATAGAATGACTCAGTTGCATCCTAGATGTGTGAAGGACGTCTTTGACTGGACACTACTAACTAGTATTGTATGTCTAGTCCTCACTTTGGTGCAATGTGACCACCATTGTAGGTAGCTCACCATCACGGTGAACATTGATTTAATGATATTAGATGGTTGAAAGCAATCGGCAGGAAGCCTTGCTTGACCTAGGTTTCGTGCTAGTTGGCACTCACCAGTTAGCAAGGCGCATCTGCAACCTTGAAGGAACTCATGTGCTTTCTGGGATTCGAACCCGTGTCATCCAGTGCTGCAGTCAGAGATGATACCACTGAGCTATTCGGGCTCACGGTTTACTTCCTTTAGAACTGTAGTGGGTGCCTTGATTGGACACTAGTAACGTCTAAATTGACATCTTTATTATCCATGATGACAGTCGTGATCTTAAACAATTGTTACAGATATTCAACAACTGCCATCCAGTATCCAAGCTTGAGCTCGAAATAGGAAGTCAACCTAAAATTCCTTTTCTTGATGTCGGACTTACAAGAAGAGATGATGGAACTGTAACTAGGTCCATCTATAGGAAACCTACATGAAATGGCCAACTGACAAATGTGTACAGCCGGGTACCCATTAGTCGTAAATGAAGCCCAATTATATCTCTTGCTACTCGCGTCTGACGTGTCTGCATCCATGATACTCTAGATGGAGAATCACACTTTCTGGAAGAAATCTGCATCCAAAACGGATATCTACTAAGATTTGTTGATAAGAACAACAAAGAGGAAATTAAAAAAAAGATGTCAACCATGACAAAAGTGAAACTTTGCTTGGGCATTGACTTCAAAGGTGACTTACTCAGTGATATCCTTAGAGGAAGAATTTTGGCCTCTTTAAGGAGAGATTTATTCATCTCTATCCTTGTGGAGCTTGGTACATTAGCCTTTCGTCTCATATCTTGTCTAAAAGGGTTCAAGAACATTATCTCACATGTTTGCAAAAAGGTAGTAGGAGCTCTGGTCATTCCATTTCCACAAACGCCTCCTTCTTACAGGTAATCTACACAACGAAGAACAACCTGTCTGAAGCAATACACTTTCGTCTCCTTTGCACTGCTTAAGTTCTAGGCATTGGGATAGAGAAACCTGAGCTATGCAGTCAAAAGAAAATTACTCACACACTTCTACTGTCATGGTAACAACCTCTTTGATTTCTGCTGACTTGGTTTTTGTTTATTTGCATTTATAACTCCTTATAACTGCTGCATTTCTATAGAACTCTGGCAAAGTTAAACTTTAAGCACCACCAACTACCAATCAGCGAATAACGTCGAACGTACAAATCACGTGAAGGAGGCATTTTTGTGTATGCAATACATATATTTATGAAATAATGCATGAAAACTGTAGACAAGTGTTACAGAGGATATCTTCCTCTCACTTGTGATAAAAATAGCTCTCAGTTTTAGGGTTGGAGTATAAACAGAGTATAACTCCATTGTGGGCGAAATTTATTTTGATAAAGTCTGACACTGTTATACATTAATATTCGCTAGGCAATAAATTGTTCTGAAAACGTCATCAGTAAATATTACTGTATAACACTGTGAGACTTAATCAGAATAAATTTTACCCGCAATGGAATTATACTTTATCAAAGTGCACAAGTTTTATTCTTATATCTACAGAGTAATTTAACCACATTCTGTGACAGTAAATATTTAGGTCTTCTAACCCTAACAATAACCCTAATCTTTCCTGAACCTAATCTTTACGTGAAAATATGGCTAGACTAACCTTAATGTCGTCTATATTAGATTTACCTAACCCTAAACCATAACCTAATCTTTTCAAACCTAGGCAAGAAATCCTATTTAATAACCTTACACTTAGATGAACATATTTTGATTGATGATGACAACATTACTTGGCAGGTTTCACTAACTAACTTGCTCAGTGAGTACTTCTAGGTCATTGGTGCGTTCACAATCCATTGGTAGTTAGTGGTGCTTAAAGTTTAACTTGGCCAAGACTCTTACATAACTCCATATTTCCCTTCGTTTTCACTTGCATCCTGATTACAATTCATTCATTAAATTATTCACCACATTATGTAACTCTAATTCACTTGTTCAACTCACTTAATGCCTTGACTATTATTAACAACAACTATGTTTATGACAACTCATCATTGTTTTACTAGCTTCTGTCATGACAAATAGTATATAAATGCAACTTTACAGATAAAGGAGGGAAATGAATTCACCGAAGGAGCTAATTTTCAATGATTTCATGCAAGCAGTTATTTGTAGAACCAACAGATGATAACTCAGCATAATCCTGTTTCGTCCAGCGGTGCTACATAATGAGCTGACTGACATCAAACAGCAGTCAAGAATTAGAAGTCAATTGGTAGATGGTGACTTGCAGTCGAACCAGAATACGCAGTGTCGTCCTATTCACCTGAATATATACCTGGATTCGGCAGTGAGTGATGATCTCCCTAACGAGGCTCAAACCCAGGGCTCACAGTTTTAAACGCCAAAGCGTTATCCACTAGACCACTTGGATCAAATTGGTCCAATACCAAAATCGAGTATCAAATAATTATGATCGGATATTACTGAAAGACGGTGTAACAACAGAAGACAAGGGCTGGCAACAGATCGTTTTATTATGAAAATCAACACGTATTTATACATATTTCACATACATTATTATAGCTTATGCAAGTAGACAAGCGCAGTCATCTGATTGGTTGTTTATCAGAAGTTAGGCAGACAAACGCAGGCTTCTGATTGGTTGTTTCGGGATTCCTCGACAAATAGAGTTCTCTATCTGCGAATCATATTTTGCCACGTTAACTTTGCTGTGATTGGTTGTTGAATCAGCCTTGCTCATATTTTCTCACGGCCTGCTCTCACCACAACGGTACAAAATATTTCAAAAATAAATTGAAGATATCTGACTTGTGCTTCAAGGACACATATTAAAGCAATTTAAATGCATTCTGGTAGATTCTTGTCATCAGTATGAAAATATCAGGTGTAATTGTAAAACTGTCTTGATAGAAGAATATAGAGAAGAACTACAAAAACTGATGAATGACAAAAGACTGATAGTTACAAGACCTGATGAAGGCTCTGTAGTGGTCCTACTTCACAGTAATGATTATATTTATAAAAACGATGACTGATGTATACTGCGAGACAAGCAAACGTTTCAAAATTTGGAGGAGAAAAAAGATGTCAATCATAAAATAACAACTGAAATAACC